TGACGGACATTCACTTTTGATTCTGGAAATGCAGCCGCATGCTTGCAGTGGCTCAGGCTAGAAGCTGAGGGACACTAGAGCATGCCTCCCAGGCTGCCAGCCACTGCCAAAGGGAAGGGATGAAGCTCCAAGGCTTTTCCCCCCACTCCCTGCTCAAGTGGAGTGGGTGTGGCCAGTCCTCAGCTCCAGCCCAGGGACTGAGACAGGGGGAGGGGAGCTTTTAACCCACCGTGGCCTGGATGAGACCCCAGCCTGGGTGTGACTGAGTGTGTGTGTGTATGGGGGGGAGGGAAAGTGCCTGCCAGACTTCTGCTCCACCCTGCTCCCTGCTCAGGGGCAGGGCAGTTCCTGCGGGGCTGAGGAGGGGGTGGGTGGGAATAAAGGTAGTGGCATTGAATTCATAAAAGCTTGAACAGGAATAGTTCTTTCTCTGAAGCAAGCATGTATTGAACACAGCAGTTTGAACCTCAAGCACCTAACAAAGAACATCCAAAAATGTTTGCCTAAGCAAAGATACAGCCTAGTAAAACACAGTGAGAGTGCACACAGCTTAGTCTAATTTGAAATGGAACGTAATAAACCAAAAAGACAAGACAAAGCCTTGCATAAGTTTTATGTAATCCTGGGGGCAGTGTCTTTGTACAGCCAGGTATTCAGAAAGTCCTTCTTTGGAAATCAGCAGGTGGTCTCAGGTGTTGGAGTGGAGATCGCACAGGCCTCATCTCTACTTGGGTTTTTATTGGTGAACTTGTACCCCTTCTCCCCCTTGGGTGTCTTGACATTAGTATGCTTGTCACGTATAGCACCTTTGGCAAGACTCTCATGCATTCGGTATCTTTTGTCGCTGCTTAGGTATTCCAGTCTCCCACCTTTTACAGCTTCTGCTTCATAGTGGAAATGTTCTCTGCTTTCTTTTGGTCACACCAGCCCAAGCAGTCTGGGACCCTCTCCTATTCCCTAGCTCCATCTCCAGCACTTACATGGGATGATTGTGCCAGGTCTTTGCCAACACCTCCCACCTCTCAGTCAGGGCTTGGCTCTGTGCTCACAGGTGGCAGGTGGCCAGCCCCTCCAACCCTGGCTCCCCAGCCTCCTCCCCCTTCCCCATGGCCTGGGGGAGCTGAGGAGAATTATGCCCCCTCCCCCTCTCCCTCCCCTTATCAACTGCTTGCCTGCCTCAGTCGTTGCCAGCGGTGGGAAGGGATGGAGTCTGCTGGTCTTCTGCCAGTGCTGTACCTGCTGGGGAAGGGGAGATTAAAGTCCTTCCCAAACCCCAGACTCTAGCTGGGGTTTGCCTGGGGGGCTGTTGCCCCCAGCCCCGTGCCCTGCTCTAGTGGAGAGGGGGTGTGGCCAGCACACTGAGCTGGAGAAGCGGGGATTAAAGCCCCTCCCAGACCCGAGCTGTGGTTTGCCTGGGGGGGCAGTCCCACTCCGGCTGTTGCTCCCCCCCCCGTGCCTCTCCCCACACTCCTGTCCCCTCCACTTCAGCAGAAAGAAGTGCGGCAGGGGCTGCTTCCTGCCCCTGCCCCCAGGCAGACCCAGCTGCAGTCCCCAGCTGGGTCCCTTGTCAGCTAGCCCTCACTGCTCCAGCTAGGGAGCAGAGGAGCGGAGCCAACCCTGCTCTCTGGAGCAGACAGCACAGCCCAGCCCAGGGCTGCAAAGCATCCTGGGATGCTGGGAGACTCTGATTTCACTTGAACCAGGAAGGGGTCTGGGACAGAAGTTTCATAAACTGGGTTGACCTAAATCAGCTAAGTCTGATACTGCATTCAGCTAGGTTTATTTCAAACCAGTTTAACCCATTTTGAAAGTGGTTTATGTGCACTGAGCTTCTGTTCTGTTACAGGGTTAAACCAGTTTCTGATCACTTAAACCGGTTTATGTGCAACTTCTGTCCCTAGCCCAACAGTCACTCATGTCAGACTCCTGTCATGTCTGGTGCAGTCAGCATTGAGGGTGGAGTAGTACTGGTCATTTCAGGCTCCCTCTGTTTGGATGGTTTTTGTGCGCTGTCAGGATACATTGGTGATACTATAATACTACTAGTAGTACTTTTAATGACTTTACTAGTTGCAATATAGAGAGTACAGGCCCTCATTCTTAGTAACAAAGATTCTTTGGGGCTTATTGGTCCCAACCAACCAGACACTAGCAGTATACATCAGGCATGGTGCCAGTGAGGTTTATTTGCAAGCCTAGAAACTGGCATGAAATATACCCATATTGCCCCCAAATATTCAGGGTTTCTATGTCTCTTTTATAGATTGATCAAAACAATCTTATGTTTATAACATATGCATTCAAATCCTTACCAGTCACTAAATGTTTTTAGGTTACATCCTTCATTCACATCCAGTTTTCACCAGACATTGTGACCTTCCCGCTGGAGAGGGGGTCTGTTTACAAGGACACTCTAAGCTCTGTTTTTGTGTCTTGTTCCCAGCTTATCTCCTCATTTCCATTTGTTGGTCATCTGATGTGCCTAGGAGTTAATATTCCTAACTTTTCCAGCATTTTTGTTTAGGCCATGTACTATCTGCTTTCCAGACACCAAGGTCTATAGCTCAAGCTGTTACTGAGGACTACTTTGGTTTATGCAGCTAACAGGCCTACTTGGTTTCTGTATGCATTGATCAATGGCTACACCAATCCATGCTCCAGCAAGACCTACAGTATTTTTAAACTTAAATTCAAAGGTTTGTTCCAGGCCCTGCTAAATCCAGTATTAGCTTTGTTATTGTCATTTGGGAAATCAAGACTTTACCTCATCAGTGATTGAGCCATTAAGTAATAGGTCAAGTTTAGGAACTTAGATTATAATGCTCATTTCCCAGTTAATTTTGTATTAAATTCCATGGCTGATATTTTACTTGAGTCACTTAATTTGTAAAGTATTTAATTCAGTCCTACCTCTTTTTCTCAGATTCTGTTATATTTTTATATCTGATCATGGACTCTGCTTTCATATCATGTTATTTCCTGTGGGCTCCATTATTGCGAATGTAGTAGTGATTGTCAGTACTTACATCCTTCAAAAATCTACCATAATTATTGTCTCTTTCTACAGTCATATATGCAGCAATTGCAATAAAGATAAAAAAATATAAATATTTGGTATTTCCCATAGTTTTATTCAGTGTACCTCAGAAGTAAGATAATTTAATTGCAGTATATGCACAAAGAGAACCGGAGTAGAAACTCTTCACTTGCTACTTTGTGCAATTATGTACACAGTAATTTCTCACTTCTCTACTCTTCCTCTCTTTCCTTAACCCCTGCTGCTGTGTATCTACCACAGTATTAGAGCATAATGGAAATAGGTGAAAAATCACCCTGCAGGTTTAAATTAATTGCACTTCCCTGTTACGCTACAAGCTAGTGAGTGCCTTAGATAATATGCTTTGAATTTTCTTCAGTTTAACCATAATTGGAGTGGGAAGGCACTTTAGTTCTTGGTACAGTAATTTACTAAACTTTTTATAAAACTAGAATAACAAAGATGTTCAGCATTTCAGTATTTCATCTTAGGACCACTCATGTAAATCCTAAGTAAATGTAATAGTGTTTTTAGCAGGAAATTGTCTTGGCAAATGTTTTTAGTGGTTTAAGGTATGTGTCATAAATGTGCATATTCTAGTTTATAAGGTATATGTGTTGAGGAACATACTTTTATTGCTAAAGTATTAAAAGCCTATCACATTACTTTAGGCAGGAAGTCTCAGAGTTAAGATTTTCTTCCCAATATTCTAATCTGAAAAGCAAATTAAAATAAAAATAATACATAAAATTAACATAAATATAGTGAGATTATTTGTTCCCATGGATACAATATAGCAAAATGATTCTATTTTGTAGGGTAACGGTAAAGATGGTGGCTTGTTCTATAGATATTCTCTCAGAGTTATGTCTCTTTTCTTTGCTCACTAAAATATTTTCCTATTTCAGGGTTGGCTAACGTGTGGTATGGGGCAGGCAGCACAGTGGCAGAGGGCAAAAAGCATTGCAGCCAATCAGGCAGGGATCATAAGGCAAGGACCAGAAAGTAGAGCAGCAGTTTGGGGAAAGAGATCAGAGTGGTGCTTGGTGAGGGGAAGGAGTAGTTTGTGGCATATCTGCCAAAAAAAGTTTGGCTCTATTGTCCTACAGTTTACTTCCTTTAGTACTCCAGTGCCAACATGGGAGCTGTTCTAATAAATGTATTACCTACTAAATTGTTAACTGTATTCCAAGACCTGAATTAGTATTGTTGGCAATTCCTAAACCAGACAGCTAATCTGTATTTTTATATTTGGGGCATGCTTTGCTTTCCTTTTGAAGAGAAATGCAATATCTGTTCCTCCCACTTTTCTAAGAATTCTGCACTGGCCAACTACAGTCCTTTAGAGGAAGAATGAGCAGTAACTGATTGAGGCAGTATTTACACACAGACTTTTGAAGAAAAGTGTAATGCGTGGAGATAAAGAAAAGCCGTCACTATACTTGCAGTGTATTCGGTTACATTTATACACCTTGTAAAAAGAGGATTTTCATGTGACTCAACATTTTTAGCTATATAAATGTACATCACAGAAAACTCAGTTTACTAGTAGAAAATTATTAACCTCTGAAATACGTTATCAGAAAACTAAGATTGCCAAGAATGTTTTCATGATAAAGAAACATAAGGTCTCTCTTTCATGTGCATATAAAACCTGTTTGTACCACTTTAGCAGTATGTAGTGGCCTCAAAGTGGGTGTAAAAATAAGCATTGTTTCTGGTATAAAGTGACTTCACTGTGAATGAGTCACACCCACAAAGCTGTTATTTATAGTGGTTTTTACTATGTCTCTTCCCTCCCCCCTCCCCATTCCTACCTTTGTGCCTTTCAATATTTAACTCATACTAGGGCAGATTAGGAGTAATGCTAACTAGCAATAACTGCTACTAGTTAAAATGTGTTCATATATATATTTTTTATTATAATTAAACCAAAAGATTAAATATCATTATTTTGTTACAGAACGATTTACACAGTATGGTCCTAAAAACCTTAGACAAGCATGGAATAAGTAAGTAAAATTTTTCTATACAGTGTTTGACTCTTCAGCCTGAAACTACTGTAGTTAACTTATGTTGCCCTTTGCTCTTTTCATTCCTATAGTAATATGGAATCATTACAGAATACCTACTTCTATGTTTATCAGCTCTGAACTTTCTTTACATGATTTCTTTTCAGCAGAAAAAAATTATTTTTGTTCCTCACCAAAGCAAATGTCATTTGTACGCATGTCACTTTTTAAATCAAACAGCTTTGGGAATTACCAAAAGTGAAAGTTAAACTTGATTTTCATTTTTTTGCAATATTGTGGTCATTTAGCATGCTAAATATATTTTTATGCTAGAAGTACACATACAGGTCTTTGGACCATTTGCTACAATTTGTGTATGTCTATCTCTTGTCCTAAAGTCATGATTTAAAAGGTAGGTGATACTGGGTTCCTCAATTTTTGGATATCCATTTTAGGTTGTCTTTAAATGGCCTTATTTTTAGAAAGTGCTGAATAATGCTCACTTTGAAATCAACTACAGGCAGTCCTCAGATTTACAACACAATTGGTTCCTGAAAACCATGTTTTAAGTCAAAACGTTATAACTCAGAACCAATTTTCTCTTAAGAAACAATGTTATAAATGGGGGATTGGTTCCTGAACCAAGGCCCGATACCCTATTTTTGCTAAAAATACCAGAATTCTGTACTCGATCTATTATAGATGAGTAATAAAGCTACATTAATGTATTTATGTTGTAAATAGCAATCATATTGATTTAGAAGAACTTCTTTGAGGTGACTTTGCTGGACTCTTTGAAAGGTTCCTGGTTGGACTTTTTGAAGGGTTCTTGGCTGGAGTCTTCTCAGGAGTCTTGGCTGCAGGTTTTTCTGGAGTCTTGTCTGCTTTCTTAAAGAAAGTGTCCAAGGAAGTTTGGACAGATGTTCTCCAGGGAAATGAGCAATGCAGCAAACTTGTTTGCTGGCATGACATTGCGTCGTATCAAGCATTGTAAAGTTGAAACTGATGTCATGAAGTTGAAACAGGATGTCAATTTATAAATGTCGTAAGCGCAAAACGTTGTAACTTGAAACATTGTAAGTCGAGGACTGCCTGTGCTTTAAACTAGCTGTAGTCAGCGTCCAAAGTCATTATTAACTTTGGAACTCTCTGGCCTATGAAATGTGTCTTCTAGAGCATAAATAATTTGATAGTGATGTTAGTTGAGGCATCCGTTAACTGGATTTCCCTTTCTGTAAATTGGAAAGACTGCTAGCAGCGTACTCGTTGTGGAGATGTCTATTTTTTTTTTTTTTGCAGACACAGTCATTACAGAAGAAGTATCATGGTCATCACTTTGAACTACCAACTTTGTTCCTATTTTCTTTCATCCACTTCCAGGCAGGCAGAAGCAGGGGGCAAGGCTAGGGAGGGGAGAGGGGGAAGGAATAAAGGTCAGGCAAATTGACTTCCCTACCATCTATCCCCCTGCCACTGCTTGCCCTGCTGTAGCAGTGGAGGAACAAATTTAAGACTCTCCAATATTTAGATTCTGTGCATGGAAAATAATAACAAATTTATAAATTTTCCATGTATAGAATCTGATTATTGGAGGGTTCTCTTAAATTCAGAATCATCTTGGATTCGGGTAAATACAGTGCTTCATATCAGATATGAATGATCAACATATATTTTTTGCAGTCTGATACTAGTGTAATAGTATAGAGTATAGAATCGGCATCAGAGCACAGAGTATAGAATCGGCATCAATACCTTCTGTACTCTGAAATGAAATTAATAAAACACAGAATTGGTGAGTGGGAAAAGATGTTTTCCTGATGCTTGCATTTGTGAGGCAAATAAGTTTTCAGGGGAGACTTAGGTTCTTTTGAATGTGCTTTGGTTTATTCTGGACACATTTTTTTGTAACAGAGTCAGAACTACCAGACAACAGGCATCCATACAAAGCTACCATTTTGTTGGACTCAATTGGCGTTCTTTTGCAGATAGTTTTACCAGAGAGACCAAGGGCTAAGTGAACAGAAGACTGAATTATTTATCAGGTACATCCGCAGCAAATCAAGGATTCTTAGATTCTTAGATGTTAAGGTTGGAAGGGACCCCAGTAGGTCATGAAGTCCAACCCCCTGCCCTGGGCAGGAAAGAGCACTGGGGTCAGATGACCCCAGCTAGGTGCTTGTTCAGTTTCCTCTTGAAGACCCTCAAAGTTGGGGAGGGCACCATCCCATTCCAGATTTTAGCAACCCTTTCTGTGAAGAAGTTCTTTCTAATGTCCAATCTAAATCTGCTCTCCATCAATTTGTGGCCATTGTTCCTAGTTACTCCAGGGGGTGCCCTAGTAAATACAGCATCTCCTATTCTCTGATGCCCTCCTCTGATGAATTTATAGGCAGCCACAAGATCACCTCTCAGCCTTCTCCTGCGAAGGCTGAAGAGATCTACATCCCTCAGTCTTTCCTCATAGGGCCTTGCCTGCAGGCCTCTGACCATATCAGTGGCCCTCTGAACCCTCTCAGGGTTCTCTGTATCCCTCTTAAAGTGCAGCACCCAAAACTGGATGCAGTACTCCAACTGCAGCCTGACCAGTGCCACATACAGGGGAAGCATCACCTGCCTGGACCTGTTCATCACGCATGATAAGGTGCGGTTAGCCTTGTTGATCGCTTTGTCAGATTGACGACTCATGTTCATCTTGGAGTCTACTATGACTCCAAGATCCCTTTTCGGTGCTGTGCTGCTGAGAAAGTCATCCCCCAGCCTGTAAGTGTGTTGGTGGTTCTTTTTGCCCAGGAGCAGCACTTTGCACTTGCCTTTGTTGAACTGCATCCTATTTTGTTCTGCCCACTTTTCCAGCATGTCCACATCCACCTGAATCCGTTCCCTACCCTCTGGTGTGTTAATGTTGGCCCATAATTTGGTGTCATCTGCGAACTTGGACAGGGTACTCTCTACACCCTCATCCAAGTCACTGATGAAGACATTGAATAGCACCAGTCCAAGGACCGAGCCTTGCAGGTTGATATCATCCCATCCACCACCACTCTCTGGGTGTGACCCTTAAGCCAACTTGCCACCCACCTGACCATGTAATCATCTACATCATAGCCTGTCAGTTTATTTATGAGAACAGAATGAGATACCGTATTGAAGGCCTTCTTAAAGTCTAGGTAGATGACATCTACCTTGACTCCTGTGTCTAAGCATTTTGTGACCTGATCATAAAAAGAAACAAGGTTAGTCAGGCAGGATCTACCTGCAGTGAATCTGTGCTGATTTCCTTTCAGCATTATTTCCCCTGCTGGGCTCCCTTAATGATTTTTTCCAGAGTTTTCCCAAGTATAGAGGTGAGACTAACTGGCCTAGTTTCCCTGTTCCTCCCTCCTCCACTTCTTGAAAATAGGGACCACGTTGGGCCTTTTCCAGTCCTCTCAGACATGACTGGAGCACCATGAGTGCTCGAAAAGCCATGCCAGCAGCCCTGCTATGACACTAGCCAGTTTTTTCAGCATCCTTAGATGAAGTTCATCCGGGCCCACTGATTTGAACACATCCAGCCCATCCAAATGCCCCTTCACTAAGTCTGTGCTAACATTTGGTAGGCTGGTGTCCCACCTGTGTCTGTCTATGATCCAATTGGGAAATTTGTCTTGATCTGTCTAGGAATACAGATGCAAAAAACTCATTGAAGAGCTCAGCTTTGTTCCCCCTCTCTGTCACCAATTGCCCTAGTTTGTCCTGTAGGGGTCCTATACTAACCTGAGCCTTCCTTTTGCTCCCTATATACCCAAAGAAAGACTTTTTGTTGTCCTTAATTTTTGTTGCCAGCCTAAGTTCTAATCCTGCTTTGGCCTTCCTAACTGATTCCCTGCAAGTGTGAGCCAGGGAGGTGTATTCCTCCTTGGTAGCTGCCCCCTGTTTCCACAGCCCGTATACCTCTCTCTTTGCCCTTAGGCTTTCTTGGACTTCAATGTTCAACCAAGAAGGCTTCTTGGTCCCTTTGCCCCCTTTTATGCACAATGAGATTGTCTCCTTCTGCACCCATAGGATTGCTCCCTTGAGGAATGACCACTGTTCCTGGATCCCCATTTCGCCAATGCTCTTGAAATTTAACACCTCACTAACTAATCCCCTGAGCACACTGAAGTTAGCCTTTCTGAAGACTATGACTTCAACCCTGCTGGTTAGTTTACCCACTCTTCACTGGATAGTGAATTCAATTAATCGATGGTGACTATCCCCTAGGTTACCTTGTACCTGCAGATTCGCCACCAGGTCATCCCCTGTAGCTAACACCAAGTCCAGCAAGGCATTTCCCCTAGTGGGATCATGTGTCTCCTGTGTTAGGTGGAGGTCCTGTATGCAGGTTAAGAACCTACGCAAGCAGTTAGATTTGGCTGACTGCTCTTCCCAGCAGATGTCAGGGTAGTTTAGGTCACCCATGACAACCATGTCTCTCAACCATACAGCCTCTGAGAGCTGTCTGGAGAATTCCAGGTCTAGCTCATCCTCCTGGTGTGGCGATCTATAGTAGACATCCACTACCAAGTCCCTTTCCCCTGACCCCCTTGTTTCCTGTCCCACAGTACCTTGGTTTGGCCCTCCTCTAATCCCATATTGATTATAGAGGATGTATATTGTTTCTTAACATAGAGAGCAAACCCCACCCCCCACCTTTTTTCTCCACTCTATCCCATCTGTACAACCTGTAACCCTCAATGGCTACTGCCCAATCATGAGTACGGTCCCACCAGGTTTCAGTTAGTCAAATCAGGTTGAGTTGTTGCTTGCAAGCAGGAGTGCAAGTTCCTCCTGCTTGTTCCCCATTCTCCTAGCATTAATGTAGAGACATTTAAGCCCCCCGATGTGTGCCCTTGGTACCCCCCCTGTCCTGATGTCTATCAGGCCCCTTAGTGCTTACCTGGGCTGATCCAATGAACCTAGTTTATAGCTCTTTGGAGGAGATCAGCCAACCTGTAAGAGAACAGACTTTTACCTTTACA